TCAAGTATCAGTCCTTGTGTATCGTAATCAATTACCAAATACAGTTATTTGTCATCATAGGCATATGGATATCGATAGAAATCAGTATCGAGACGATAATGATGAATGAATATAATGGCAAAAAAAAAAAATTATATTTATTCAAATCATAAAACTAAAAAATTAATTTTACAAGTGTTCTTCTTTTTTATTTCAAAGTCTTAATTTATGCTCCATGGTTGAGTCATTTTTAGAAGTGGTTCTCGTGAATATTGTCTCATAGGCAAAACACTTCCATAACCACTATCATAAGATTTTTTCTTCTCATTTTCATTTTCATTTTCTTCTTCGTTTTCAGTTGTATCATCGAAATCTGTATCTTCAAAATTTCCAAATGAACTTGATATAACTTGTGTTTGACTTTCATCATCATTGTCATCATCATCATCATCGTCATCAATTTTCATTGATAGTTCATAAGTTACATAATGATTTTGACATTGACAAAATGTTTTCATTAACCGATCTGATTTATTGTTATTTCCATAAAGTGAAGAATAAACTTTGTTATAAGGCATAAATAATGAACGATTCAATGTTTTATGAATAGAATCTAATGTTGATAGAACGCGATCAATTTCAACTTGATCATTATCTAATATTTGTTTTTGATATTTTAAATTTTTCCATGTTGTTATTGTTGTTGTTGATAATGATTTTTCAACATATTGTTTTTCTCGTTGTTGTAAATAAAATTCTGTTCGATATATAAAACTATTTATTCGCAGATTATCATTATTTGATTTTGAAGTACGAACAACAATTGATCGTGATTTACTTAAATTATCTGAGGATTTTTTTTCATAAGATGAATTTTTACGACGAATATATTGTGATGTTGAATTAAATTCCATATATGTATATGAAGAAGAAATAACGAATTAGTTGATATGAGAAGAGCTCATATGTAAGTTTTTTTTTCTCTTTTTTTCGACGATGTTAAATGTACATCAGCTGCATGTATCTTTCGTTTTTTTTACCTTTAAATAACGAACGATTGCGATTGATCGTTACACATGAGAACACTCGCAAACTATTTTTTCTAATGATCGAAGAAGACAAGAGATAGAAAGGAAAGACAAGGACATTAATAAAATATCCAAAGGAAATAATTAAAATTAAACGTAATACAATTAGATATTTAATTATCCTGGTAACGAAAATTCTAGGTTTTTATACCTAACATATAATTCAAATTCTCAATAATTGACTATAATGATGAAGTAGAATCGTGTTTGCATTTGGTTATAGCAAAATTGTTCTATGCCACATTGGAGTCTAAACGATTATACTTTCTAAACAGACTAACAATTAAAAAAGACTTTTGTATAATGAAAGTAGCATTACACATAATAAAATCTCTTTCTCGTTTTATCAACGCATTTTGTTTCTTTTTCATTGTTAATTAAAGAAAAACGCAGTTTTTTTTAAAGTTGTTATTCGAAAAATAGAAAAAAGAAGAGATTATAAAGCTAGACTCTATAGATTAATAAATAAAAAGCAGCAATATGATTAAGTTAAAATAAATTATAAATGTTTTATTTTAATCATTGATTATTATGTGTTCCATAACGACGATCATGAGGTACATCCAAGCTATCAATTGATATTTTATCTTTATCTAATGATAATGTTGAACTATGAGGTAACGATGAAATAATATTATGATCTGGAGATGATTCATCTTGGTTTTTTCTTAAATTAAAGTCTTCAATATCATCATCTTCATCAGTTGTTGACGGCTCAAATTTTGCTGGTGAAATATTCGAAGTTCTATCCTCTTCATCTTCATCTTCGTCTGCAATGTTTGTTGGTGATAATGGTCCAGATCTTGCTAATGGTTGTTCTTCTTCTTCTTTAAGCAGTGTTTCATCTGGTATATCAGAAATATTTGATTGAGTTACTAGCTCGTTTTCTTTATTAGGTATTTCGATTTTTTCATCTGTTTCTGGTGATGTTTCTATGTTAGTTGTTAATAATGGTTCATCGTGTCCTTCAATTGCTTCATTTTGTTCTCTTATTGGTTCAATTTGTTTTTTAATTGGTTCATTTTGTTTTTTAATAGATTCATGAATTATTTCAAGTGGAATTGTTTGTGTTGATGAAGAAACATGATCTGATATGAATGCTACATAAAGACGGCCTACTCCAATACGAGTAGGAGAAAGTTTAATAAGTAAAATAGTTGATTCTTTAGGTGCAAATGATCGACTAGAAGAAAAAGTTATGATACCAAGACTTAGATACAAATTATTATTATTATTATTAACTTGAAAATCTTAAAGTATGACATAGATAAGAAAACAAATCAAAACTTACTTAACATGAACTACTTGATTAATACCTAAACCATCAATATAAATACGTCCGCTATTTATTTGACGTGAAAGTGTATTAGCAATTTGTACTTTAAGTAATACTGGTTTACCTATTTCAATGACATCTTCATCAAGAATCTAATAACAAAAAAACAAAAGAAAAATTGAAATAAAATAATAGAAAACAATGACTTACTGGTTTAATAATATCATATTTATTGAAAACAATATTATCATCACGTGTAAATGTTTGATCAGTTTCCTTGATTAATGAATGCAGATAATATTTAAGTATAATATTTTCTTGTTGACCGAAATGAGCATATTGTTCAGGAGTAATTTTTAATTGAATATTATCATCTAAAATAATATTAATAAGCAATAAATAATAATTTGTTTTTAAAAAAATAAATTTTTACTTTTTCCAGCTTCAAGATTTAATACTTGAACTGGTTGATCATGTGTAAAAATTAATTTTTGATTATTACTACTAATTATAGATATTGTTAAAGCTGTTGTTATTGTACGTTTTTCATTTGATTTATTATTTGCATTTAATTCTAATATAATACTATCTCCAAACTATAAATAAACAAAAACCAAAAGTGTTTTTTGTTGTTTCTTCAAAAAAAAAAACAAAATAAAAATTTACTTCAATATCATCTAATATTTTTAATTTAATATCAACATCATTTTTTATTCGTTCATCTAAATTATCATTTTTATCAGATAATTTCATTGAATTTTTATAACTCTTCGTTATGTCCTCTGGTTCAAATTCATTACTTAATGATCGTGTTATTATTTTAATACCAACAATATTTTCTTGTACATCTAGTTAAATAAAACAAAAGAGAAAAGAATAACAATGAAATTTCTTTTTCAAACTTAAAAATCAAAATAATCTAACCTAATAATTCCATATAACCATCTGGATAAACAATCCAATGTGATTTTTTTCCATTAATTGTCGAATGAATAAATGGTGAATCCCATCGAAAACTTAATTCACCATTTCTTAAAGATGATAATGAACATGGACCTGTTCGTCTAATACCATCACACATTTGTACTGGTGTTGAATCAACAATTTGCCAATCTTGTTCATCATTAGGTAAATCATGACGACGCATCCAACATTCATTCCATACATGTGAAGAACTAGAAAAAAAATTATAATCTTAATGAAATTCTTTTCTTTTATCTTCTAACCATATTAAATCAAAATTAAGTTTATGTAATGGTCGTTGTTGTGTATCCCAATGTATATCATTATCTTCAGTACCATCTGTTCGGCAAGCTGCATTATAAATTGTAACAATACGACATGGAATACCTAATGAACGACTTAAACTACAAAGTATAGCTGCATGTTGCCAATTATTTCCACAACCACCTTGTAATGATCGAGAATTTGATAAAAGATATTGTTTAAATATGGATGTACTACTTGTATATCCATGATTTTCTGATGTATAAATTTTTGTATCATATGATGATGGAAATATACCATTATTTGTACCGGGATTTGAGCAAATTTTTGATGATAGTATACGAATTATAATTGATGGATCAATACGATTTTGGGCTGGTAATTGTGCTTTATCAAGAAGTGTAAGTGCAGTAAGTAATGTTGATCGTTCAAATTGACCAAAATACCATGGTATTGATTGAGGTTTATCCGATGTACCAAGATATATTTGTCCATGTTCATTCATAACATATTCATTTATTTGTTCAGATGATGATAATGCACATGCATCATCTTTATTCCATGGATTAAAAAGAAAATAAATATCAGTTTCAACTAAAAATAATGTAAGATCTTGTTTATTTAGAAAATTTTTATCATCTTTCTTTAATGGACGAACTTCAAGTAGTAACTATAAAGATAAAGGTAATTAATATGAAACCTATATTTTTTAAGTTTTTTTTATAAACTTACAGTATATTTTCCAATAATAGCATCAGAAGGAGAATCAATTTGAAGCGAAATACGATTATTCTTCTTCGTTTTAATCTCATCATCTTCAGCTGGAATTCTTTTAGCTGACCAACCATTACCACTTGGTGTTCCATCAACTAAAAGTCTTATTTGTGTTTGTTTCGACATCATAGACCGAGGACCTATTTGATCAGAACATCAATTTTATATTACTTTTTTTTTTTACATTATAATACCTATAGCTAATCGTATATATAATTGATGTTCTTCAACATCATAATCCCTATTGAATGTTACCGTAAATGAAAATGATTGTCCTCGTCGTAAAACCAATCCCGGAATATCATAATGCTTTGTAGAATGTTCTTCCATATTCTTTTCTGTGTGCAAATCAACATCGATAGGAATTAATCTAGATGCTAGAATTACAATTTCAAATTTCTTTTATTCATATATATAAAGTATTCTTAATTTGTTTTTTAAATGATGCTAAACTAAGTAAATAAATACATCATTGAGATTGAAGTTATGAAAATAAGAATATATGTTAATAACATGAATTATATTTAGCATGCAATAATATGACATTAAATCTATCTTTCTATATATATATACATATATCTATGTGTACAATTTATGCATATGAAAAACAAAACAAACACAAAAAGGAAAAGTTTACATAGGAGAACTTTGTTATACTATTTAAAATTTTGTGAAAATTTCGCAAGTGATTCTCGAGAAATATGTCGTCTTGGAAGTACACTGTCATAACCACTATCATAAGTTTTTTTCTTTTCTTCTTCATCTTCATTATAGTCTAAATCTGAGTCTGTATCTTCAAAAGTTACAACTGAATTTGATATTTGTTGTATATGATTATTATCTTCTTCTTTCCTAAAATGATTTTGACATTGACAAAATGTTTTCATTAAATGATCTGATTTATTATTATCTCCATAAAGTGAAGAATAAACTTGATTATAAGGCATTGATGATGAACGATTGAATATTTCATGAATAGAATCTATTCTTGAAAGAGCATGATCAATTTCAGCTTGATCATTTTTTGATATTTCTTTTTGATATTTTAAATTTTTCCATGTTGTTTTTGTTGTTGATGATGATGGCAATGATGATGATGATGATGATGATAATGATGATGTTTTATTAATATTTTGTTTATCTCGTTGTTGTAAATAGACTTCAGTTTGATATGTATAATCATTTAAAAGTGTTGAAGCAATGTCGGATTTGTTAATATGAACAATAAGTGAAGGTCGAGATGAATCTTTTTCATGAGACAAATTTTTCTGATAAAAACGTTGCGGACTATGGACGTACGCCATCTCACATGATCTATACCAAGGGTATGAGTTTCTTCTTTTTTTCTTTTTTCTTTTGCTATATACGCCTACATATTCATTCTTTTATGCGCATCAATAGCTCTTTTATCGACAGTATCACTCATTTTTACCTATACTCTTAACGATAGGTGATCAATTGATCGTTACACATGACAACATTCGTAAATGATACATTTTGACAGTGAATAGAAAAGACAAGCGATAAAACGTATGTGAAAATGAAGCAAATTTCTTTTTTGTTTAGTATTTCGGTGATACAAATTACGATTTACCTAATTCAGATAAGATTGAAGGTCGCTGTAAGAAGAATGGTCTAGAATTGAAAAAAAATAAAATTGAAAAAATAAAAAGAAATTTTTTTATTTTCTATTAAAAACATACGTTGTTAACGAGTTTTGTTCATTTGTATTTTTTGAATGAGATATATATGACTCATTCTCAGGTACTGGAATTGATGATTCGATATGACCAATTGGAGTGTTTATATTTTGCGTAAAATGTGATGCCATTTTATTTGTAGTGGAAATTTAGCAAAAAAAAATGGAAAAGAAAGATATATTTTCTTTCTTTTTTGTTTTGCTTTTGATATCTCGCTTGAAAGACGGTTATGTGTGTCTTTTACAAATGTGCATATGTGGTTTCTGAAGGCAAATGAATAACGATATTAATTAGACGAAAATTATGTGAGTCTGTTTACCCTTTTTTTTATATCAATTGCTTGTTGTTGTTACCTTCAATCGCACATAATAATTAAAATTCGTAATAGGCAACAAAATGAAAGACAGAGTTATTAATGACGATGTTCATTTATGTTTTATGATATTGAATACAATCTTTATTAATTTCTATGTGTTCGTTTGTGTAGTCTAGTTATTGACACCATTCAAATTAATATATTTAATATAAAGGTCTTCTTGTAATGGGAAATAAGTTTGTTCCTCATCGTTATTAGATGTACGCAGTTGTAAATAAAAAATCGATAGAGTGAACCGATTGTGCCCTTACTGTCAAGATAGACTTTAATTATGATCGTTATCATGAAATATGACTTTCGAAAGAAACCTAATATTCACATTATAATTAATTACACTTATCTGGCAAAAAATAAACTTGTCTGTACTGACTATGTACTAATTTATGTTTGAAGAATTTCAATTGAGATTATTTTCAAGAAATAAAAAACAACGGTCTCAAAGTTTGTATGAATTTGTATGTTTTTTTCATAGAAGTATTTCATATCAGAGTATACACATACTGAATTACATGAATTTCAGAAGAATTTGGATCATTTTTCGAATAAATTTCAGTAGAAAGCAACGAAATAAACTTATTTCTTTTTCTCTTGATTATGCTTCAATCAGATATCAATCTAGAGTTTGAATTAGAGATGTCGGGAGATCAAGTTTTGTATTACATCCGGTCATGACTTATAGAAAACCATTTCATAATATATTCACATTAAATCTAAAAGATTCTTAAATATGTGTACCTAAATTTTCTTTTCATTGATGTAAGTTATAACATAATACACAAAGAATCATAGAAAAAAAATTATCTTTAACTTTTAGTTCCGGTTTGACCAATTGTTTTTCTCTTACGAGGGAAGTTCTTCAACTGTTCAGTCACTCTTGACTCGAGACTAAGTGTATAATGTAGACCCAAATGAGCTTTGAGTACCTTGAAAAGAATTCGTGTCCTTGGTTTATTACTATGACGATAGTGTATTTTACAGTAAATTTTTAAATCAATATCGTTGTAACAGAAAGACTAATTTTCGATTTTCGACTTGAAACTTTGTATAGACACAAGCCTTATCGAAAATAGTTTTCAGTCTTTTGATTTTCTACTATCCTGAAATAGAAACATCAAATCTGCTGGTTTATATGAGTAATATAAAAGACACACTAGTACCACCATAGCTGTATCTTAGTATAGGAATAGAAACAAGACTTGAAACATTCACAAAAAAGTCTATTCTCATTCATACGTATCTCTATGCAAAGTTCCAAATCGAAAATCAATCTTTCTGTTACCACGATATTTATTTATACAATACCGTAAAATTACAGTATCTTCACAGCAATAAGCTAAGAACACGAACTCTTTTCAGGGTATTCATAGCTTATTTAGATCGACATAATGTACAAAGATAATTGAACAATCGAAAGACTTCTCTCATTAACCCCATTCATCGAGATTACAGATGATCGCACACATCTCCATTCAAAATCTATAATCAACATTGAATTTCTGACACATTCTATTCAAATGAGTTCGAAATGACTAATAAACTGCAATTTTTTCTCAAGTTCAAAATTTACGTCAATATTTCCTCATCATGACAGCAAAACTTGATAAACTTCATATCATAAAATTGACTATTCATTTAAAATTTTTGTTTCTTACTATATCTAATAATTAAAAAGAAATGTTTCTTGCACATATTCATATATATATAATCTGAACATTGGCAAACATAAGAATGAATGATACAATAAAAGAAAAACAAATATATAGTATACAATATCGAACAAAAAAAAATCAAACGAAATGCATAACACAAAAAAAAATTTATACATTAGAATGAAGTTGATGATTTGTTAATCAATAAAGCAAGCATTGTAACGAGAAAAGCAATACCACTTACAGTTGAAAAAATATTCATTGCAAATGCACGTTTTGAAATTTTTAATGTTTTATCATAATCAAGTGTACGTTTATGTTCACGTACACGTACAGATAATATAATACATATAATTCCAAAAATAAAAAAAAGAAAAAAATTTCCAATTGACCATAATAAATAATCTGGTATATTCACAACATCACGTTCATGTTGAGAATATTTTAAATTAGCATGTACAGCTTCTGAGACATAATAGTCTGTATCATTTTGTGGTAACCATGAAAAACCATTTCGTTTTTCTAAATATGGTTCAAGTTCACCTATTTCACGTTTTTCCATTCGTCCAACACCACTATATATATAAATAAACGAATAAACAACATGTTTTGTTTAATTAATATTAAGAAAAAAAACTCATTGTGTACTTGTCACTTCGATAACCGGTCAATAATCTTCCGTCACGCATTTTTTTGTTTCTCTCTTTCGAAATCCAAGGTTAACAGTAACTAGTGATGCTGTGCGTAGATGGAAGGACGTGAATATGATTTATAGAAGTACGCCGATGTAATTCTGTTGGAGCAACTATATTCTTCTTGCGTTCGTTTTTCTTTCTTTTTTTTTCTTTTTTTTTCTTTCTGTTTTTTTTTTTACAAGGTTGTCATTACGACGTTACCATTACATTTTTTCGTCTCAAAAGTGTAATAAAGAAACAACAAAAAAAAAAAAAAACACAAAAAGAGGAGGAAAAAAGATAGAAAAATTTTGACACCAAAATAAAATCAATATAGAGCATTTTCTTTTTCTTTTCTTTTATCATTGACCTTGCAGGTGATACTTGGAAAGAAGATCGTTTTTCTGTTGTCTCTATTTTGAACCTTGACATTGATGAAAAGAATATGTCAATCTTGGTACGTGTGTAATGTAATTGAAATGTTTATTATAGTTTTATTTCGATGTTATTTATTGTTTTTTTTTTCAAAGAATAGACAAATTATTCGAATTGAATATATTATTCTTGTCAATGTGAAATTCAGAGAAAGGATATACTTTGGATTATTTAATAAGAAAAACTTCTTTGAATTTATTTCCAATGAAACCGTGTTAATTTAAATCTCGTAAAAAGATATTTAAGGAACTTTTATGGCTTCTTATATGACAAGTATAATAAAAAAAAAAGAAAGAAGAACCTGATAATTGCAAATTTTATTCCGAGATCAAAATAGAAAGTATATAAAATTTTCTATATAAATGTTGAGTGAGTAAATGCAAAAAAAAGAACAAATACAAATCTTAGAAATTTAATGAGTCATATTCATTAATAGTATTTCTGTTCCAATGCAAAAAAAATGCCCTATCGAACAAATCAATTAACTTTTTATGTTTCTTTCTTGACTTATCTCTTCTAACGAAAATGCTTCTATAATAAAAAGTATAAGTCGTGTAAAAAAAAAAAATTGTACTATTTCACTATCTTAAAGGTAGTTTATATTAATGGGCATCATCCAAGATCTATAAATGAGAACCAATTAAATGTATCATTTTTCTCACCTTTAATTATAGTATTTATTTTCTTACTAATGCAACTAATTGAACTTTCAGGATAGTGCATAAAAACAATTTTGATAAACGTCAATTTCCTCAAAATTGAGAGAACAAATATTTATCGAACTGACTTAATTGAATATAGGAATGTTTATTATTAAACAACATTAGTATATACATAAACAATAAATAAAATGCTAATATGATTAAATAAAAAAACGATCGGCAAGCTTTTAGACAAAATGTGTTTGCTCATTTTTGATCTACTAGCAATTATCAAATGCTATGAATTAAAACAAGAAATTTGTATTCTTTTCGAATTGAAATTTTTCTTTTGTCTTTCGACAAGGCACTTCAATTTTTGTAATATTCGTTTTTGAAAAAACCAACAACCGTTTTGCGTTAAAAGAAGCTCTTGAAAAACATGCTTCTCGTCTCACTTGAATAAAATCTACAGTTTAGTTCAGTATCACATTTTGTAGAGAAATTTCTGCTCTAAAAAATGACTGACTTCGAAAAGAGATTTGTACGGCTAAACAAAAACCGCTTAGCTCATTATTAAAAATAACTTTTATGTCTTCAAAAAAGTTCTTCACTATTCTTGAACAAAAATAGACATGAAATTTCTGAGCCCTTATTGAAATTCTGGTTGCAGCCTATAGTTTTTGTTTCAATCAAAAGTGAACAAACATCTTATCTAAAAAATTTTTGATCACCTCTTACTAAAATTTAAATACGATAAAATTCATTCTATCAGTAACTGTCTTATTTCTAAACATCAACAAAAAGTCAATGTGCGATGGAAGATTTATATTTTTTATCGTGCACAATTGTTAAACGTGACAAAAAATTTTTAATAACTGTTCAAAGGTATATACAATAAAACTACTCAATCATCCATGACAATTATTAATATTCTGTAACATACTAAATACAAAAAATCAAAATGAAAACGACTATTTGAAGTGAATTGCATCGTTGTCTATAATTCAAATCGAATAATCGGTTAAGTTTCAGTTTCTATTAATAATTTCTCTAGAAATTAAACTTTCAATAACGAGTATAAAAACATTTAAATCGTCTTTCATATAAATATTATTACTAATTTAATTCACTTAGATATACAGTCAAAGTGGAAAGGTAATGTAATGTTGTTTGTTTCTTTCGATCTCTCTCTTATTACTCATATTTATTTCAACTGAGTAATGAATGACTAATTTCCACTTCAATATCAAACAACGAGCAATTTATGCAAATATATTAGCTAAAATTTCAATTACAAAAAACGATATCTCCACAATAAGTTTATTTTTATTGTAAATTTGTTAATCTAATATTTGGGTTTATTTAAATCTTAACTTAAAAATTTTTAATAATACATTCTTACCTTAAAATATGTATTTTACAATAGATACTTTGCTACTTCTGTTAGAAAATGAACTCTTCGAATGCAGTATGTGCTTGTCGTTCGATCCTTTCTTTTTCTTTTTCTCTATTTTAATACGTCTCGTTCATCGGTCAAGATTGTTATTTCGGTGAACACAATAAGACCACCATTGGATCAAATCACTATTCCTGCTCGTTTTCTTCTTCTTCTTTTCTTTTTGTCGTTCTTTGAAATTTTACATCGAACATAGAGAAAAACAATGAACAAAAATAAAAAGAAAGAAAAACGCTAAAACTCAAAGTGTTGTAATTGTATCGGAAAAATAAAGACTTGGTGCAAAAACAATTCCACGTTTGATTAATGCCGTAACATGATTAAGTTTATCAACTAATTCAGAATTTCCAACTGTTTTTCCTGCATTACGTATATCTGAACATAATTCTTCAATACGCATTATTGTTCGAACAATTGTTCCTTCTTGAATATCAATAATTTCCATATCAGGATCATTCATAATATCATAAAATTTTGCACCTTGTGCCCATTTATATACTAATGACATTATACTAAAATTAAGTTCTTCTTCAATATTAGTCGGAATTTTATAATCACGTTGAATTTGATCAAGTCTACTAGCGATTGAAACTAAAATATTGAAATTTTAATAGAAGAATTATGAAGCCATCGTGTATACAAGGCAATCGATATTTTTTTTGTATTCAATGCATCAATGTCTGAAATCATCAACTTGAAAATTTTCGCGTCAAATACTCTGTAAAATCTTTGCCTATTTTCGTTTCATCGAATTATTCAAATTTTTTTATAAAATATACTAAACGACAGAGAATGAAAATCTGAATAAAATGAGCTATTTCAATATAATACAATGTTGACCAACTCAAGTTTTATAAGGTCAACATGAATGAAGAATGATTCTTTTCATGGGCCCAATGTGTCCATTTCAACACAATCTGTCGCCTGTCGTGATTCAGAATCAGAGAGCTCCAAGCTGAATTTTATATATGTTGTGCAACTTTTTATTCTCAACAAAATGATATATTCGGAACGAAGTGGGGTTCACATCTTTGTCTCACATAATAATTTTTGATGATTTCTGAGTCGAAAAAATTTTTTTTTTACGATTTTCATTGTCATGACTAGAGGTTGTCACGTCCAAAATTTTCGGATCAGGATCCAGTCGATTCAAAGACCAAGTCGCCGGACTCTGACCATGGCGTAACTTTAAAGTAAAACAAACATGACATTCAGAATCGGCGTTAAAAACAACATTGAGTCAAACACATTCTAGAATTTTTCTCCTATAAAAACTTCACCTGTTGTCCCCAACGGATGTATTTTATTCGAATTTCATCCTTTGGTTTTCCAAATGTCAGTTTTCTTCAGAAAAAAAAAGTTATTTAAAATGTCTTTAGTATAATTTACAAAACAAAAAATTTAAAATCATTTGTTGATACGAAAGTAAGCACAACTTTTACAGGATATTTTTTCTCATAAAGAAATGAGAGTGGTAAAAAGTTGGTAATGATTAACTTTTGATAGAAAGGGTATTGGAGGGTAAAATTTTGATATTGATGATTTCAGATATCGATGCATAAAATATACTAAATCGAAAGGAAAAAATGTTTTTTTTTCTTGTTTGCTATCACTTACTTAATCGTTGTTTCGCTTGATGTAATGCAGGAGTAATTTCCTTTTTCTGATTTTCATCATTAATTTCATTATCGAAACGTTTACCTTGAAAAATAATCGATGATAAAAGTGCAGCTATTTCACTTGGCATTAAATTATCAATTAAATTTTGATAAATAAGTTCAGTTAATAAAAGTTCCTTACCACTACCAAATATTGCTGCAACTTGACCTTTTAAACTTAATACATTTATATTTGATAAATAATTCAATTTTTTTAAAACTTCAAGCATTGATTCATATTCAAATGATGTTTGAAGATTTGCTTGAAGTGATGATATACGTTCATTCATATCATTATATTTATTTTCATAAAATTTTAATTTACGTATATGATGAAAATTTTCATTAAGATTTGAATATATTTCATTTTCAAGTTTTAAATTAATTTCATGAAGATTGTTAAGTAATGATGATTGAGATATTTTTATTAATAGATCATTTAAAAGAATAAAACGATTCGATGCAACTACAAATATAAATAAAATAATATTTATTTTAAGATTAAGATCATGTTGAATAATGTTTAAGTTTATCCAATGAAATTTCGATCATCTCTCGTATGTTACTACATCGTATTGATTCTGTGCTTATGTTTTATTGAATGATTATTTACTAAATCCGAAAGAATTTTGAACCAAAGTTTATTATCTAAGGTCTGCATAGATTATCAATAGCAAAATAATAAGGATTTAAACTTTAGATAATATAAAATTAGGAGAGAATTGATAATTAGTCTTTGATACATTAAAAGATTCACAGAGGTTTACTAAGAGTTCTTATTTCTGAGTTTTTGGATATTGTTGAGATCTACGTAATGCTGAATTCCATAAATAGCATATTTGGAATTAGCATAGAAACCTACGATGGGTCACATATTTTTCAAATCTTTGTTTTCAATGCGGACCACAGACAAAATTTTAGAGAAGACGCGACGTTGATTACAGATATATTTTCCGTGCAGTTAATGATATTGCTAAAATGTATGCAACTCGTTGCAATTTTCCGTAGTGATTTCGAATTTACTATTCATTTTGTTTTCCAAACGAGTTCTGATAATGAAAACTGCTATGGAGAAGGCCGTTTTTGGTCATTTTTGTTACGGAAAAAATTAAATGAAGACTTTTGTAGCTCGAAGTCTAGTCGTTCAAACGACATAAGATATTTAGTTCTATCTTCTCTCACAAAAAAAAATCGAGAGGCTTACAAAATTGCCTATAAAAACATGTGAGAAGTCTATATATATATGGTTAATAATATTTTTCTTCTGAATTATAAAAAGAAAACAATATTTTCACCGAATTTAGAAAAAGAAAACGTAGACATCAGAGTTGTTTTTAGAAAAATATAAAATTAATCATATATGTAGTCTTCCTAGAATAATGATCTTATTGAAATAAAAGGTCACATTCGTAACCAACTCTTCAATCTCTATCAAAGCATAAATAGATCAATGAGAAATAAACTTCACTCGAATTTCACGTTTTGTGTACCTTACTATTTGATCTATTCATTGCTTGTTTAAGTTCGTAAGAAAAAATTAAGTGAACCATCAATCTATGTTAAAATATCATCATACTAAACACTTTCGAGAAAGAATTGATCTCGCTTATATTATGTATGAATATTTTTTTTAATTCTTCAGACAGATGAACACATCTTATATTCAAAAAAAAATGCGGATATATTCAATTTTTGAATTTATTTTTCAATAGAAAAGGCAATAGATCTACAAGTAAACAAATCTTCTATATAATATGTGTCTTATGACTACTTTGAAGACGATTTTATTAATGATAAACTTACTTGATTGATTATTAGAATTTAGTCTAATTAATGCCAATTTTTCTACTGCTTGTCTTAATGCTTTATCATTTCCAATAGTTGATTCAAGTTCAATATCAAATGTATCACTCATTCGATGATTCCAATGACCTTCTAATATTTTATTATAATTTATATTTGGTATTATTTCATTTGTTATATCAAGTATATCTGTAATATGAATATTTTTAATTTGATAAATTAATTTTTGTTCTAAATCATTTATATCTATAGTCCATTTTTGTACAGGTAAAATAAACATTTGTTCATTTTCTTTTAATATTAATCGATCTAAATCTGTTAACGAACGATTTGTTGATTGACTTATAACTAAAACAGATATAATACGTTGATGATTTATATTTTTTCCTGATGTACTAAATGAACCATCAAGTACAATAGCTGGTATATCTATTTCATATATATCACGTATACGTATAATTCGTCCACATTTAAGTAAATCATCAAGTAAACGATGTGAATTTTTATCATGATTAATTAATATTTGTTGAATTTGAAAAATTATATTCCAAAATTGTTGACATTGATTAAAATAATTTTTAAATTCATTTGTATAAAATGATTTTATTGTTTGTTGAAGTGTTTCAATTGTTGTACGAAGTTTATTTGCTGCTATTATATCACGTGCATTTGCTTTTTGACTATGATATTCAGAATAAGAACTTGATACCATATATTCTAATGGACATTCAGCAACACGAAGAAAATTTAAAACCATTGAATATGTTAAACGAAATTGTGATTGAAGTTGAGCTGATTTACCCTTAAATTTATTCAAACCATATTTTTCTTTTATACATATAATCACATATGTCAAATGTCTAGATCTCTGATAGTAATACGAAAGTGTAAGACTTACTGAAATCAACAGAAACATATTCTATAGAAGTACTTGATTCATTTCTATAGTTGATATAAAAACAAATGAAGCTCAAAAAAAATCTATTCATTGCGAGCTTAAATCTTTTACATTTGTCATATGTAGCAGCAGGACCAGGATTTTTAATCAGGAAAAAAGCTGTCGAGCATCCCTCAGAGCTCCTACGGGCTACCGTTAGCAATAACTTTTTCAAACTTCTCGGCGCGGGATCATGAGGAAAGTTCCGCAATTTGATTAATTGATTTTAGTTTATGATAAAAGTATCACGTCCCATAGTTGCATTTTAGGATAGAAACACTGACAAGATCTGAAACTTTTACGAGAAAGTATTGCCGTTCAGAACTGTCTCGATGCAAGGTTTGAAGTCAAAATTCGAAAATTAGTTTTTCTGTTACTACGACATTGATTTAAAAAATATTGTAAATGTGCAGCATTTTGACAGCCACAAGGGCCTAAATTGTCCTCAGAGTATTCATAATTCATCTATTTCTACATAATGCATGTAGTCCCGACTGAAAAAACGATTTATCACTTCGGAAACTTCTCTCGTCAGCTCTCCTGTGTAGTGCAATTACTACTCTTTGATTGTATTCTTTATTCATTACTGTTTACATATGTCATGCATAGAACACAACTTAAGACCTGTTTTAGTTTTAGACAATATTTTTTTATCTATTTTATTTACCAGTATCATGCCTTTAAGTGAAGATATGGAAGGAACATCACCTTTACATAAGGCAATAACAGTTCCAGTTTTATCTAAACCACGACGACCTGCACGACCAGCCATTTGAATATATTCACCTAAAATTTTATTTTTTTTTTACAATTACTAAGAATGAAAATCTATTAAATAAGTTATGTTTACTTACTCGGTATAAGTTCACGAAAACCTTTACCATCATGTTTTTGTAATGAATCAAAAAGAACAGTTCTTGCAGGCATATTAATACCCACTAAAAAGAATATTCTCTTGTAAGAATAAAAACGTTCAAATAATATTACTCGCAAATGTTTCTGTTGCAAAAAGAACTTTAATACGACCAGTTTGAAATAATAATTCAACTGATTCACGTAATATTGGTAAAACACCACTATGATGTATTGCAATACCACGTTTAGCCATTTCTTGCATATTCATAACCTAATTAATAAAAAGAAACAGTCGGTATACAAATATTTGATTAAAAAAGTAATAAATTTACTTGTTGTAATTGTCGATCAGATTCATTAAGTCTTGATAAAGCTTGTCGAAAAAATTGTGATACGTAATGTTTATCTTCTTGTGAATTTAAATCAAGCCCTTTAACTAATTCTAAATAATCATCACAACGTTTACGTGAAAATACAAAACAAACAACAGGTAATAATTGTTTATCACGTAACATATAAATTGTTGATGTCCATAATGTTTTATTCTAGGTAAAAAGAAAAAAAAAAGAATTCTTGAAAATTCTATTTGCATTGTGGAGGAGAAAAATTCAAGCTCTTTATCGATTTAGTAAGATAAATAAATATTCAAAATATAAAATCTATCCTTCGTGAGTTGACTTTTTGAAAGAGAAATTGTTTTTAAGTATAAATTCATTATTATCGACTATCAAGTGATGTCTGATATACTCATGATTACTGAATAAAATTGAACAATGTTTTACAAGAAAATCTCATATATACTACATAGTGTTCTAATAAAAACCTTAAAAGAATTTGAGTTCCTATCAATATTTGGCTAAGCTGCCTAATTTTCAATAGATCTATTCTCTAGAGACACCATGTTTTCGGAAAATTCGTGTTTTCGAATTTCGATCTGATACTCTGCCCATATAGAGAATTCAGTTAGATTGTTAATTAGAACACTATGTATTAGTACCTATAGGCGAAAAAAAAATCATTGGAAGAGGAAGGGAGCAATTGAAGAGATTCCCTAATCAGATGTTACAATCAAAAATTAAAATTTTGATATAACTTCAAAGTTTTGCTAGAATTATAATCAGTTTTCAATAGTATTTATATTTATTATCTTTCAATACAAAGTATGCTTGTTTCTAATTAAAGAATTTGTTAGGGAAAGTTCTGTGGGATTAATGTGTAGAATTCGATGGAATTTCTTACACATGACAAATTGCGAAATTGCCCAGCACATATTTCAGTGTGTGAATTACTGCCTGCTGTTAACACATATCGATGATAAAATACATTAATCATAATGCATTGTAGTATGTGAGACAATAGGGCAAAAAAGCACAAGCAACTTGATATGAATGCTTTAGGTCGAAAGTATTTTTCTACCCATGGAGACCGTCTCAAACGTCCGATTATGGACAAAACGAATTGATCTTTCAATTCTAAACAATCCTATACAAGAATCGAAGGGTCCGTAATAATCTAGAACGTCTTGCAAAACTTTCAATGAAAAACTTGTAATTCAGCATCTTAAAATATGTTGTATTTTCTACTAATCCTGCAGTAGACTTTGTTTTCATCTGTACATGTAGCATGGTATGTAAGGAGAGACCGGCATTATTAAGGTCTTTGTTATGCACTGTGAAAAGTGATTCTAAAATCTGCTTTTATACTTTAACACTCTTTCTAGATTGCGTTTCGCAAACTATCAATAGTACGTGACATCATTATCAAAATTAGCTTAAGCTCAAATATTACAATCTTGAATATGAGTTTTTCTACTTAATTTCATGATTATACCTGATTAGTATTTAAAGTATCATATCGAGTTTTAGAACCAAAATTTTGTTGACGATCTTTTTGTCTTGCTGCTTTCGCTGCAACAGCTTGTGCATGACTATAATAGTACAAAGAAAAGAAACTTTCTTATAATACTTTGTACAATCATTTAACACACTTTCGTTCAAGAAATTTTTGTTCAGAATCAATTATCATAAATAATTCTTTATTTGTTGATGTACTATTTCCTGTATAGAGAAAATGTTCAAGTGGAACTGGTCGTTTGAATCTAAACAAAAAGAAAACGTAAAGTTTTTTTCATTTCATAAATGTATATATGTATATATATATTTACGTTGAAATAACATAAACATTTCGTCGTTTCATTCGTCTAAATTTTTCAATATTAAATTTTGATTAGAAAAATAATAAATAATCTTACCCAACCCATTCAGCAAATTCTCGAGCATTAGATACAGTTGCACTAAGCATTATTAAACCAACATGGTCAGGTAACATAATTAATACTTCTTCCCAAACAAAACCTCTCTAGTTAAAATATTATTAATTATTAAAATATATTTTTTTCTACAAACTTCTGTATCATTTAAATAATGTATTTCATCCATAATAACCCATTCAAGAGACTTAAGTGTATTTGATCGATTATAAAGCATAGATCTTCAAAAAATAAGAATTTTGTTTTTTATTTTAATAATTTAAAGAAATATGTATATACCTAAGAATTTCTGTAGTCATTATTAAACATGATGCTTCATGATTAATTTGAACATCACCAGTAAGAAGACCGACATCATTAAAACGTTTTTTAAAATCACAATATTTTTGATTTGATAAGGCTTTTATTGGACTCGTATAAAATGCTCTGAAATATTTTAATGGTTTCTTAATTGCAAAAGAACTTTTCAATTACCAGAACTTCATTTCTGAGTTACATTGATTTTATTCGTCTGAAAAAAATTATCCCATATGATTAATCTACGATACTCAATAAATATTTTTGCATCTTTGTAAAACATGATCTACAAGAAGTGTTCAAGTATGACCGTAGAAAATCGGGTCCCGTTGGAGAGATGACAAACATCTTACGAGGACACCTTTCAAGGTGTTAAATCTCTTTTATATCGAGACAAAGTTCATCTGATGAGTGCTAGAGAGTAAGAGAAAAGTCTAGAATGGTTTGATATTTTGGACCTTCGCGTTCCAAGGTATCGCAATTATACTGTTTTTTTTTGACAAAAAGCTGTGGTCTCCTGAGGTTGCTTGAAAAATCGATTTTCGACTTCAAACTGTAGGTAAACAAACTTCTCAATGAGATTATTTCATTGAGTAAACTTTAGCTTTCCTAGTATTTCTTTTCTGGAGAAGTAAATATATCAACAAAGTTTGCTGTTGCACACGATAGAATTTCGAATATTCCATATTTTAGGATGGCACGTAGTACCAGAAAAGCCATAACTTGTCCAATGAACTAATCTCTTTAAGAGCTTTGTTCGTGCAAAGTTTGAGGGTAGAAAGTCGACTTTTCAGATGACTTAAGGGAGAGCTGTAATTTTTTGTTGAAAAACCCAGTAAAATTTCGACATAGCTCGAGAACAAAGGTCTAGAAAATCAAGCTATTCTAGAATTTTCTATTACTCACAAGTACTCATCAAATGAACATTATCTCGATCAAAAAGCGATTTAACACTTGAAGAGGTTCCCTCGTTAGCAACAAGTCATTACAGATAGTGACAGAAGTTATTGATATACGATTCAGCTCAATAGCTTGACAAAGGCAACAGTTAGCGATTTTCAGCTTTCAGTAATCCAAAGGCAAGAACTTTGAACGTATTTTTTGTCTCATACTATAAGAGACAAAATCAATTAAAACTCTATCATCTTCTTAAAATATTGATAAAATGGCATAAAAGCAGTGTTTCATTTCAAGGAAACTTCGATAAAACATGAGAATATTTGCTAAAAATCAACAAAATTCTATATAATTTGATTGAATAGATGTGTGATTTCATTTATTCAGCATTGTGATGCAAAAATATAATTAGTTCAATTATGTCTTGAACTAGAGATCTGAAGTCCATCTATCGGAAACATATGTCAAAATCAAAATTACATCGAAATGCAACACCATTTTCATACATTTTTTAAAATTTCTTGCAAAGATGATCGATTTTAAAATAATTTTATTCTATATAATATTAAATAATAAGACGTTCGAAGTTCTTCTCTTTCGATTGCTGAAAATCAGAGGTCGCTAGCTGTTGTCTTTGTCAACTTATTGACGTTACAGTCACATCTGATTAATTCTCACGCAGACATGACTTCCTTATTGCATTTCTAGAGAATCAAGTAAAAGAATGATGAAGAAATTTGTTTAAAAATTGATAGAATAAAACAATTTTCTTTTGATTAGCAAGAATAACTACATCGTGTTTCACATTTTTTATTCCACTGAGATTACGCTAACAGCTTTCAGTTTGTCTGGTCAACTTGTTTTTTAGTTAATTTATAAACCATGTTACTTACTTAGTCGAATGATTTTGTGCAAGAGCAATAGCATATTCTAAAATAAAAAGATAAATATTTAATATAATCAATCTAATCATTGAATTTACAGTCTAACCAGCAACAACTGTTTTGCCTGCTGATGTATGTGCTGCAACAAAAACACTTTCATTATTCTCCAATCTTAAAATAGCTTGTTTTTGAAATGTATCTAATTCAAATGGATACTATTCATTATAAAAAAATAATAAATTCAAGTAGAAACAAACAACAAGAATATTTATACTTGAATAGCCATATCAGGTACTCTTAAACGAAAATCTCCAAGTTTTTCATTTGGATTTAATTCAATTGCATATGAACGATTTAATTGTTGTTCAGCTGTTTTATTTACATCTTTCATTGTTGATCGAAATTTAAGATCTGGTAATGGTATATCAAATAAACCACCAAGACGAAGTTTGGATGGTATAGGTGTATCAATAATTGATGATTGTTGTTGATTTAATGTTGATTGCAAATTAATATCATCAAGATCAGATTTCCATTTATGAAGAAATGTTTCATATTGATTATCGAAATTTGGATTAAATGATATTGTTGTCGATGGAAGATCCATACCAAGACCATCTTCATTTGATAAAGATTTTAAAAGATCTTTTTTTGAAAACGAAAAAAAGAAAATTATTTCTTATCATATTTTAAAGATTTTTATATTAATCTTACTATCATTATTTGATAATAATGTATCTGTATCATTTCGATTAATAATTGTTTCTAAATCTGGATTATTTTCATTTGATATTTCATTTATAGTTATAGGTAAACAAGGACATGATATTGGAGCTGGTTGAAGAAATTCATTAGGATATAATGGTGGATCATCTTCAAGATTTATATTAATTACTGGTTTAGGTATAATTGGTACCTAAATATCATCTAAGATGTATTAGATTTTCATTTTTAAAATTAAAAGAAAAAAAACGTTTTACTTCACATAAACCAATTATTTCACCAGTGGTTAAATTTCTATCTGCTACAAGATCATGTTCATCATTAAGACTTTCGATAGTAAATAATCGATTAATATCAATATCATGTGTAGTTAATTGTCTAGATCAATATAATTATTAGAAAAAAAGAAATATGATTGATAGATTTAATACCGTTCATGTAAACTAGGATCAAGCCAAGGAAATTGATTTTCATCAACAAATGAATAAAGTAAATGATCAAAGTCACTCCGAATAAATTGCTTAGTTGCTGCCATTTTATTTTATTTTATTAATCTAAAATAGATTTTTGGATTTAAGTTATGATCTCTTTTTTATTCTTTTTCAGTTTTTTTTGTACTGAAGTTCTGTTGAATAGGAAATTTTCCTAACGAAGAAGAAGTTCTACAGCTGATTAATTGCTTTTGAATCGAGACTATGTACATTATGTAGATCCAAATGAGCTATGAATATTCTTAAACGAGTTCATGCCCTTAGGTTATTGTCGCCGTGAAGATACTGCACTTTTGTGAGGCTTTTTTAAATGAATGTCGTTGACCAGAAACCCTGTTTTTCGGATTTTGATTTTTAAACTTTTCCCACAGATCTGGAATAAAGAACATTAAATCTGCTGGTTTATATGAGGGATATAAAAAGCACACTCTCTGCAAAGTTTGAAGTCGAAATTTGAAAATCAGTTTTCCTGCTATCACAGAATTACTTTAAAAAAATACCTTAAACGTGCAATATTTCTACAGTAATAATCTAAGTGTATGAAATCTATTCAGGTTAGTCATAGCTCTTTAGGATCTGCATTATGCAGATAGTCTCAACTGAGCAGCGATTTTTCAGTAAGAGAACTTAATTCGTAAGCCACTTTTTGCTTCAGATTCAGTTAGTGGCGTAACCAAGGAGAAAGAACCTAAGCTGCTCATTGGAGTCATGACAGCTAAACTCTTCTAAAAATCGCTTCATCAGATAGAATCCGATCACGTTAAGCACTTCGCACTGCTAAAACCCTACTTATTTCAGTCGATTCATTTGGAATCTGTCTACACTCCAACAAAAATAAATCTATATCGGTGCTTAGAAAATATTCTGAAGTGTTAAGTAACATTTAAAGGACGCTGGCGCATAATGAAAGGAACTAAGATCACTAATTGTTTATAGATAATTCATTAGTAATTCTATGTAGAAAAAAGAGATGAAATTTTCGATACCAAATTCAATAAAAATTTTTGACATTCGAGATCACTTTCAAGGGAAAACAATGTAAAAAATCATTGAAGCCTTATAATGATTTTCGTTGGGTTCTCGGTATATTTGTATCTGGTCAGTATTTGACTAGAAAGTAGAACTTTTTGAAAATCTTGTAAGCTCAGTTTATCTTGATTAGAAAGAGCATTCAATTCTGCAGCATCATCTGATAAAATAACTATTATTTTTCTTATGACTTGTTTGATAGTTTTTTCATGCGAGCTGCTTTCAGTTATATACTATTCGATAGAGAAAAGAAAGGAAAATAAAATTATATACAGTTTATTTTATTTCGATTTGATCCAAGATATCCAATGTGCATTGCAATAGTCAGACGGCACCGGAATGTGCATTGTTTTCACCAGTTTTGAATCGAGTTATTAGGACTAAACCGGTTTTTCAGGAAAAAAAACGGTATATTGAAATCAGTATCAAAAGCTGAGTCGATCCATATAATTTTCAAAATATTTTAAGCATTTTTATATTAGTCCAAAAATTTAGTTCTGCTCCCTCCCCTACAGGAACAGATCGAAAAATGAAATCCATTAAAACACTTATTTGGATTTAAAAAAAAAACAATTATAGATGTTGCCAAATGTTACTAAGCCCAATAGAATTATTCATTAATTAATAAAATCAGTGTCTAAATGAATTTTATTTTTCGACCTATTCCTGTAGGGGGGGAGAGAGTTAGCCCTACATTTTTAGACGAAAATAAAAAAATGCTCAGAATATTCTGAAAAGCATATGGATCTATTCAGTTTTTTATGCTAATGTCAAACAGAATTGAATACTTTCTAATCAAGACAAATTGAACTTAAAATATGTTCATAATTTGTGCGCTTTCTAATCAGATGCTGGTAAGATACAAACATACTGATAATCCACCAAAGATCCTATAAGGCTTCAATGATTTTTAAGATGTTCAAAATTTTCGTTGAATTCGGTAACAAAAATCTCATCTTGCTTTTCTGCATAGAATTACTAATGAACTGTCTTTAAACGATTAGTGGCCCAAACTCGATTGGTTAATCCTTCCCCGTCCTTTAATAAAACATAACAATAAAACATATATGAAAAAAATCAAAATAACAAAACTCTAAATTATATAGTTAAATTTCATTATTTGGATTAATTTATCAACAAATTCCATTATGTTGGATAAGCAAGTGATATTAATTTTTGCATTTCTTCAGATTGAAATTCTTGTCGAATTGGTTCAAGTAATTTATTAAGATAATCTGCAAGACCATTTTTAAGATCATTAACATCTATATCCTTTAAATACAGAAAAAGTTTAAAATCAAATTTAAATAAATTTCAAATAACCTTGTCAATAAATGCATCTTCTAATTGTTGATAATTGTCAAATGATATCGGTTGATAATTTTTGTTTGATTGTAAAAGTATAAATTCTTTAAATATATATAACAAACATTTATTGTCTTATAATCGAAATTTCGATAAAACTAACTTTTATCTTTAAGTAATGAAAAAACAACGTTTTTACAAAAAGCAAGTACACCATTTTGTTCAACATTTGTTCTTTCACAAATAGCTTCATAAAGTTTTGCTTTGACTTGTTCTGATGTATCAAGTAAATCAATTTTACTTTTTTCATCCGATGCTGACATTTTATCACCAGTTAAACCAGGAACTACCAAATGATACAATCAATATATTCAATAAGAATTAAAATTCATTTTTACTCACAGGGTTCATTAAATGAATACGTTTGTTATAACCTAATTTTGGTAAATTCTAAATTAAATCAAAAGATATTATATAGAATAATAATAAAAAATTTATTAACAAACTTCTTCAGCAAATGTAAAAATTTTTCGTTGATCTACACCACCAAATTGGGCATCAACTTGTAAATATTCTTCATCGAGAGCCTATGAATAATAAAAAACAAAAAATTAATATTTTTCTTTATTCTTTTCTTAATATAATACTTGAAGACAAGGATACAATAAACCACTGAGTAAAGATGAAAATACTTGTTTAACAACTTCTGCACCAGCTCTTTTAGCTCGATGTTCAGAAACAATAGAAAATAAATGATAAACATCACGTGTATATTCTCTACAACGATTTATATAAATTATTAATAGAAATAATTATTATTCATACTGTGATAGTTGATAATCAGTACCACGTACAAATTTTAATTTTTCTAATGGTACTTCTATTGATTTTAACATTGCTTTAATTATATATTCATAGTAAGCTGTACGATGACCTAGTAATTCCCAAGGTGCTTTCATATTGTCTAAATAAGCATGAAGATCAGCAAATAGAATCGTTACCAGTAATTATATTTTAATATTTTGAACATATATTACAATAAAAAATGTTACCTCACAACCAGCATGTAAAAAATCTGCTATTTTAATCATAGGTAGAAAATATGCAATATGTGGTCGACCTGTTGTTGCTGTTCCCCAATAAACTTTAAGATCTTTTTCACTCAAAATCCCCTTTAACTGATCATCTCCAATGGTTTCTTGTAAATTTCGTGTAATCAATAAATATTTCTCATCAATTGTTAATAAATTTTCAGCCATTTCGTTTTTTCTATTGCCAACATCTAAATAAAAAATTTTCTATTGATACCTCATACTTTTATTTAACTTTGCTTTGTTGATTGTGAAATAACTAGAAGAACAGAAAAGAAAAGAAAAAAGAAAATTTTCCCATTTTTGCCTCATCCTTTATTTTTTTTTCAATATTTTCTTTGTATGACACTGTTTTCTTCGTCTTCAAAATACGACTCTTACATCAGCTTGTTTCATCACCCAAACACACATACAAGCACTGTTACAACTAGCAGCAGAAGAAAAACAATTAATAAGGAAAACAAAACAAAATCCAACAATATGTATAAAGAAAACGAACAAAAAAGTGTACATTCCATAACCGAGGCATATAATTTATTTTTTCCCATAAACTTGCATTATATAGAGAGACATAATTGGACTAGGGACAGATATTTAAAACTTAGGCTAAGACTTCCTGATTTGCTAAGTGACTGACTGTTCAACATGGATACATAAATTTCAATAAGAAAAACAAAAGTGAATAAAAAAAATTAGTCTCTCTATTTCTTTTTTTTTTATTCACTTTTTTTTTTTCTTTTTGTTCAATAGACAAGGACAAACAAAAACAAGAGAAAAACATAGAAGAAAAGCGAAGATGATGTTTTTTTTTTTCATTGGCATTATACGAATTTTTTTGATTAGACTATAAAGAAAAGTCTAGATTTTTTTGTTAGGAAACAATAACTTTATATTTTTTTGTCTTTTAATTTTTCGGACGAAAAAGAAAAAGAAGAAACAAGGACAAGAAACATAAAAGAACCTCGGATAGATTTTTTTGCTTTTTTTTTGTTTTTAATTTTGTTTTCATGTACTTTTCATAATAGAAAAAAAGAAAAGAAACGAGATCGACTAATCTATATATATGTTTAAAGTGGGACCAGGAGAAACTTGTTCGAATGATCACATGAAAATAAATATCGAACAAAAAGAAAAAGGGGAAAGGGAGGAGATCTGCGGGAATAATAGTCAAGATGAAAAAGAAAAAAGAAAACAACAAAAACGAAACGAAGCTTAGTTTTTTGCTTGGAGCAATGCATAGTAGAGAATAAACCCAAAACAGACATACACACACACGCACACGCGCACACAAACTCACAAATCTGTTGCTCATTGAACAGAGCTACAAAGAGCCAAAAGGAGACAAGAAAAACGAAAAAAAAGGAAAAACAAAAAAAAACGAATAAACGAATAAACGTATATAGGTTAGATATGAATTCACTCAATTTGGAATTCATCAAGTAGTTTAGTTAAATCTTTTTTTGCAACGCTCTGTTCTAAATCTGGCCGTTGCAAATGACCGATAGCTATTGCTAATGTACGCCAAATATTTTCGGACATTTGCACGTGGGTACCTTGTGGACCAATACCATCACTTTGTTGTTTAAGTGCTGTTAAAAAATGTTCAACAGCTTGTTTATATGCACTTAAATTGAAACAACTTATGCCTAGATTGTAACGAGCACGTACAAAACCGGGTGATAATGTTAATGCATGATAATAAGCATCAACTGCTTTTTCACTTTGACCACCATTAGCTAATGCTGCACCCAATTTGTTCCATAATAGAGCATCCTAAAAGATCACATTGTTTATTAACGATACTTCCCATTTTTTCCATTAAAAAAAACAAAACTGTAGAAACGTTTCCGTTTCTTCAGACTAGTATGTCCGATTGAACTGGAGATTATTTTTCCATATATTATAGACTGTTTCAAAATATATTGTTTTGATGATTTTTGGTAGCTCTATTTTTTTTATTTGAAGAATAACAGATACAATGAAAGCCAACTCAGACAATGTCTAGTGCTTTAACGAAAGATTTTCAGCTCAATCGAACATAGCATCTCGGAGATAATGGAGACGAAAATTGGGACTATTGTGAGTTTAGTATCTCATAGAAGATAGTATTCGAAAACTTTGAGTCTATGAGAGTTTTCGCTCTAGCTGCTCTGAAAATTTCAAATTTTTCTGATGAACCATCATAAGTCTTCTGAGCAGTTCTGTGCCTGATGTCAATAAGGATCTTTAGTCTTCTCATAATCAATATCCATATTACATAGTTAGATAATTCAATGTCAAAAATAACATCACTTGAACAATTAATACATGTGATAATAAACTTTTGTAAAAAGACAAACGAGGAAACTTTCATGCGTCTGTGTTCTTAGGAAATTTTGTATGACCCTAGTTTTTTTTAGAACAAACTTATTTTCGAATTTTGATCGGAAACTTTGTGCATATAGAGATTTCAACTAGACTAGTTTCCATAAAAAATTTCAGAAGTCTAGAACAAAGTCTCTTCGAGATATGAAACTTTCAAGATATAAGCCCTTTTCCATGGATAATGTATACACTATGAATTTTTTTAGTTTCATATCCTGAAGTCACTTTATTCAAAAATTTCTGAATTTTTTTATGAAATTTAGTCTAGTTGAATTCTTCTTACGCGCAAAGTTTCAAATGAAAATTCGATACTTATTCAAATCACAATAGGATCTCAAATCCTGTTAGAGCATTTATTAGAATACTATGTAGTATCTATCAGCAGACAAAAAAAATCATTAAAATCGGAAGTGGCCATCCAAGGAAGTTCCCTCGTCAGCTACAACGTAGTATATATTCGATTACTCTTTTATATTGCATGTCATCAAACTAGAAAGCATTCTATTATTAATAAAAAACATACAACTTTCTAGAGAATTAATAGATAAAGCTTTTGAATAGAAAAAATTCTATTTCGAAATGACAAAAGCAAGTCGAGACATCGAAAATAGTACTTTGAAACTCATTTACCCTCCCACACACAACTGTTATATGAATAACAAAATGAAATTCATTAGCAAAGTGACTATGTTTCATTAAACTTTTATTTCTGTTTATATCAATAATGGTATGTGAATAGTCTATGAGACTGTTCTCCACATTCTTTTTCAAAAAGTTCTTATCTCAAAAAAGAATTTATGACCTCGTTATCAGTAATAAAGTACATAGATGTATATCATGACCTATTTCCCTCAGAACTTCGAAAATGATAGATAATAAAACTATTTTTTTTGTTTTGTGTTTTTTTGTTAATAAAATGAAAACTTACATCGGGTTTAGCAAGAACGGCTGTATTGAAACATTCTGCTGCTTTATCATAATCGCCAGGCAAATGAAACAATACACCAAGACATACCTAAAGAAAAGAAAAAAAGATGAATTCTATTTGAAAATTAAGTTTTTTGTTTAAAATCATCATACTTGAAGATCGGAATCAATATCATTTGGATTATTTGATAATGAAACTGCTTGTAGAAATAGTTCTTGTAAATCTTCAAAGGCCAATCTAAATAAAAAAAAAAAAAAAAAAAAAATTAACTATTCGGAAAAAAAATTAATAAATCAATAACAAAACATACTCATCGATCAATCTTGGTTCATTAGTTGTTGTTGTTTGTGATCGACGGTTCGATAATAAATGAGAATATTTTTCATTATTAGCTAACCATTTACGTAAAGAATCAAGTGCTTCATTTGTTAACATTTCATTAGCATAGCATGACGCTAGTGTTATATAAGCTTGTAAATTTTTTGGATCAAGTTCAACACATCTTTATAAGAAAAAAATTTCAACATAAAAAAACAAACAGTCATAATTCTTACTTTTTTAATGCACATATAGCAGGACCATCCTGTTCATTTTCACTTTGGGTTATACCGAGATAAAGCCATGCCTAATATATAGAAAATGATTTATAGCGAAAAATGAATTATTCTCATACATATACTGTCGGTATGATGCATGGACGAGATATGTGCGGGACTATGAAAACAAAAGTTGTCCTAATTAGAACTAAAGTTTCTATGGTTTTAAACGAATTCAAGAGAGATAATCAAAAACAAAGTGCAGATCGTCTACTCAATGAGTATTCGGAGATCACCAAGATTAAGAGATCGACTCTTGTTGCGGAGATTGGAGACCAAAGCAATGAAGATAATCAAGAATTGTCCTGCTCAGGCACCTCTGCGTCAACTAAATATATTAAAAAGTGATTACTAAAGTACCAATTGCTCGTTCATAAGACAAAATCTTCATACTCGGATATTATTATTTTCAAGTGGATATTAAAAAAACTCAAAAAGAACAAATTCCATTAACTATTGATCAATACAGGTGCTTTCAAAAAATGACTAAACATACCAAAAATCGACTTTTTCCGATTCAATACTTCCGCTTTGGAATAACTCTATTATAGCTAATTATGCTATGTCTCTTTTCGATAATGTTATTTTGTTGGGCTGTCATTCTTCTAGGATTAATAGCTAAGAAAACATCAGCCTCTAAAGAAATCAACTTAACAGAAACGGTTAAGAATTATATTCGTTTTTTTTTCTTCAGAATACTCCATCAGCATCTAATTAATATTTTATTGATTAATAAACTATCGAGGGAAAATAAACATTGCGGAATAAGAATAAAAATGTTATTAATTCTATTAAATTGCATGAATAGTTTTGTCTGAATAAGAAAAACATTGTTATATAATGGCTTGCAAAATTATTCGACCAGATTTATTTTCTATTTTGTTTTCATCTGTCATAAATAATAATAAGAAGTATCGAAGAGGAAAATATTCTTGTTCAGTTCTCAAGGACAAAATCTCTGGAAAGCCAGAGTTTTTCAGTTCTCTCTAACGCTTTTTGACCAATATACAGAAATCCTACAGAAGGCATAAAAGTCGTTATTTCGTTTGAAAACATCATTTTATTGTCTTTGGTATGAGTGATATATCTCAGTGCAGATATGTCATAAACAGTCGCGCGACATTTTATTTTGTACGTAATATTTTTCTCTATCGTTTTAGGTAATTCTAAGAACTCAAAAAAAAAAGGAATTGGTTGATTCCAACAACTCTGTCCTTGGAAAACGACCAATCATTTTTGTTTTCGAAAATTCTTATTGCCAATGCTTTTTTTCTACTCAAATAACGATTTAGATTTTTATTAGGATAACTGCAGTAGCAAAGAAAAACAACTTGAATATTAAATAATTATGAGAGTCATGATATATATTTTTTATTGTTACCTCAACATGATTAGGCTGTTTTTGGACGGCAGCTTCAAACAATAGAACTGCATTGACAATATCATGAGCTTGTAAACGTTTAAGACCTTCTTCAAATGGATTTGAATGATCAAGAAATACATTAGCTTTTGAAAATTTATATTCAGAATAATTATCATCATTATCCATAAGATGACGAAGCCATGATTGTGAACGAGGAATTTGACTAAAAACAAAAAATAATTATATATATTTTATAATAATTCTTTTTCATTGTACTCGTCTAGTGATGATAAATTAGCAGCATCAGCTGCCCAATCATGTTGCCATTCACTTTCATTCGATAATTCATTAGAAAATTCATTGATCCATGTATCTACTGTTACATCCTAAATGAATTAATTACAAATAATGATTACTGTTTAAACAAAAAAAAAAAAAAATTTTTTTTTACTTTCGTCTCGCCTGTAGCCTCTTGCTCCTTGGCATCGACGGTGGATTTTTCTCCAATACCGCCAGCTACATTTTCAACGAAATTTTTAAACTATACAAAAATAAAATAATTTATACATGAAGAAAAATTTTAATTTTTTGATAATTTTTTTATTGCAAAATTTTACCTCACTATCGGCTGCAAACTGGGTTTCTTGTAAAAGTGCAAAAATATTTTGTGCAGCTTTGACAGTATCGTTGTCAAATGCTGCATCGACATTTGATGGTTGTTGATCAAGAAAAGTCGGATTTGAATTTAGCGAGAAAGTTGAAGTCGGAGGACTAAAAAAGACACAATATTAATATTATATTAAGAAAAATATTAACAAAACGTTTCTGCATATTAATTAGTTAGTCTAATGAACTTTAAACCTTAGCTAATGTTTTGTAGGCGAAGATCATTGTGACTATGAGGCATTTATGTTTTTGTTTTGTCTGATTTTATCATTTATTCAATGATTTAATTATTTTCTATTCTATGTAAGAAGTTTACCGATGGTTTTTTTTCATTCTCATAAATAATAAATTTATTTCTTTGCCAAGTAAAACATTTCATATTTTATTTTCTAAAAAAGTTACGACTATTCATTTGTGGGATTCATCTTTTTTTTTTTTTGTTTTTTCTTTATCTAAACATAAAAATCAAAATAGATACTAACGTTTGTCTTTTCTCTTTTCTCTTCTAAATAAAGTACTTCAAAAGAGAGATTTCAAACAAGACGTCCTTCAAACAGACATATAAAAAGAAAAAATCTCTGCTTCATTACTTATAATAAAAATTAAATAATCTAGAATTATTTTTTTATATATTACATATAAGATTGTTCATTCCATGGCATCCATTGTGATTGTTGTTGAATATTAAAATCATTAATTACATGTTGTGGTGTTTGTATTTGTTGATTTGATAATGGATGTATCATCGATGATGAAAAATTATTATTTGTCTTTGTATTTGTTGAATAAGATGAAAAATCATTTGTAAGTGAATCAAGAAATTGTGTCGTCCATTCATATTCTTAATATATACCCAAAAAATACAAATAAACTTTATTTCAAAAAACAAAAAAACAAATACCATGTTTATTAGTATTATCAATAGTATCATCAGCTAAACGTAAACCGGTTAAAAGACCTTCAAGATGAAATGTATTTGGTGCTGCTATAGGCCGATGATATTCATTAACAAGTTCATCAATAGTTGCATTACTTCCGCCAGTTAGATTCGCACTCTACGACAAAAAAAACAAACATTCAAGAAAAAAAAAAACATTACATCAAATAATTATACAGTAAAATTATTTGTTGCTGGTTTAATAAGACCATCCTATATAGATATAAATAATGAAAATAATAAAAATAAAGAATTTAAAACTTTTTACTTGTGTAACAAGTGTATTATCACGTGTATAGAATTGGCTTAACTTAATCAACGGGTTTGTTGTGCCACATTCGGCATCAAGAAGAGGTTTGAGTGCAGCCATCTATGAAATTATGGGATAAAGGGAAAAGAATAAAAAATGCGAATCTGAAAAAAAGCAACAATAAAGATGTTAGAACATAATAATCATCATCGTCATCATCATCTATATCTTTTCGATATGAGTTTGTGTCTGTTTGGCACAAGTCCAATTTCAACGTTGTCGTTTTCCTCCATTTTTCTTTTTTTTCTTCTTCATCTCCTTGAAAAATACATATGGGTAAAAGTTGGTTAACCAATAATATTATTTTCAGCATACGGAGCGACAAATAAATATTCGAAAAAAAAAAACATTATGGAGTTTTGTCAAAAAAATAAAATAACATATGATTAATTTACAAAAAAATGATATTTTTAAACTAAAGAATAAAAGAGAGAATAATTTTTTTTTTGTTTTTTTTTAATGGCAATAAATAAAAAAAAAATTTTTTTTTCTTTGTCTTTCTTCTGTCTACCATTTTTGTTTTTGTTCGTTGTCTCTGAAGAAATAAACATAAACGGTGTGTGTGTGTGCGTGCATGTTTGTTTGTTTCGATGTGCACACCGCGCTCAACCAACGGTTTCCAAGCGTGTTGTGTGCACATTCGATTCTTTCGTTTTTTTTTTCTTATGTTGCGTTGTACCCGAATGCATATGTATATATTTATATATATATAACTGAAAGCGCACGAGGGCTAACAAAAAAAAAAGAGAGTGAGAGAGAGTGAAGAAGAAATCGAATACATCGACTACTAAGCCAAGGTTTCATTCGCTTTGTAATATGTATGTGTCTTTCCCTCTCTACCTTCCCTCGCCTGACTTCATCTTCATCGTCATGATTTATATGTTATACATAGAATAAAAAACGAAATGAACTATATAGATCGAGTGCAATCTCATTTTTATTTAAGTTAGCAAACGACTGTGCTTACCAAAAACAATAAATATATAACACGGAAAATGTATATCATCTTTAATTCAACAGAAGCATTAAATTTATAATTAGTGAAAATTTATTATTTATTTTTCTTCAATTTTTATTTAATTTATTGGGATACATATAATTCGAGATCTTTATTTTGTCGTATGTAAGTTATTTATTTTCATCACAAGAAAACACAAAAAAATAAAAATAAATAAATTATCAAGAAAGAAAAAACCGAATTTATATATATTTATTGTTTTTTATTTATTTATTTATTTTAGATTTTGACTGAGTAAGGGTGTAAGTTGGCCAGCCTCCCCAAAACTAAAGACGGAACATCATGTCCGCAATGACGGTCACTAGCGGTGGCGTTAGCGGAAATACAAATAATCCAAATAATAATAGTGGAGGTGGTGAACCAACTGATGGTTTTACATTATTTCATAATCGACCGCCTATATGGCCTACATCAAATCAATCTGTACTAGATCAACATTGGAATGAATCAATATTTTCACCTGTTCATCCTCAACAACATCGTTCATGGCCATCGGAACCATTCGGTAGTGATATTTGCGGTGATGAATTACCATATCCAAGACAAACAACAAATCATAATAATAATGATTTTAGTCCGTTGCCATCATCACCAGCAGCTTTATTAAATGGTAATCATCTCGGACAAACAGGGCGTTTTCAATTTCCAAATGATTCATCACCATATTGTCCTCAACAATTACCACCAATGTCATCATGTTTTAGTGATTCATTATATGATCCATCACCATCATCTGTACTTTTTTCAAGTGATATCGATCGACGTAATAATTCATTACTTGATACACGTCAACAACAACAACAATCCTCAACATCATCATTAGATAATTCAATGATTCCAAGAGAATCAAAATTAACATTAGATCAAATGGTTGGACGTTTTGCTGATTTACAATTACAACCTCCACCACCATTACCTCCATCATCAACATATCCATCATATCAAAATCCATTTTTACCACCAACAAATGAACAACAACAGCAAATATTATCATCATTTTATTATCAACAATCATCACCAACACAACAAATTCCATCATCAATGGTTAATTCACGTGTAGCACCACCATTACCACCACCATTTGGTAATCATTTATATGTTAATTCACAATCATCACCACATACACAAAATTTTTTAACACAACAACAACAAAATGGACCATTACCACCACCACCAACAGCATCAAATATGTTTAATGATCGTTACGAACGTAATGATGGCTATTTACCATTTTCAAATAATTCATCATATTTATCAGCTATGCGTTTTTCACCTAATCCAGCATATCGTACAACAAAAAGTGGTAAACAACAAATTGGACCTGAAAATTCCAATCTATTTATATGTCATCTACCACAAGAAACCAATGATCAATCATTAATGAATTTATTTTCTCAATTTGGTAAGTTTCTTTTTTACTTTCTTTTTTTCAAAAGAAAAAAAAAACAAAATAATTTCTTTTATTGTTAATTGTATTAAATACTATTTTTAGGCAATGTTTTGTCGGCAAAGGTAATATATAATTAGCTTTATTTTTCTTAATATTATTTTATTTCTATTTAGGTATTCGTTGACAAAAAAACAAATCAATCGAAATGTTTTGGTTTTGTTTCATATGATAATCCTTCGTCGGCTCAACAAGGTAAAAAGAAACTGATCTTAAGAGATTACAAGGAAACTAATCAGACAGGCAACCATCATTTAGGTATTTACAGGGAAATCAAAGGATGGAATTTTCACCTGAATTTCTGTTCATAGATCCGTCTAACGATTTTTGAAACTTTCAGGATATTTCAAGAGTCATTAAAACTGTCTATAGATTGAATTTCAAGTTGTAAATCTGTTCTTTGCTTTTTCAGTAAATGTCTAGAACTAAATGAAAAATATCATAATTCGGCTGTAGAAGGCTATGGGCACGAACGCTTATAGGCTTTTTCTATTCTTACTAAGACCTCATTGCAGGTACAATAGTGAGTTCAAACGATGGATTACAGTTTCGATGTTTCCTTGCTAGTATAACAAAGAAAATATTGAGAAAAATTTTTTTTTTCTTTCGATTTTCTTTTCATTTGATGAAAATACTCAAAGAGTTTTTCTATTAGATGATTGTTGATTTTGAACAAATATTTTTAATGTTAATTATGAAATTCATAATTTAACATGATGAGCTTTAAAAAAAGTTTTAAAACTAATTAAAAACAAATTTACATAATGAATACTTATTTTGTGTTCGTTTGATTTACTTTTTCAAACAAAAGTATTAAATTAATAAAAAAGACTCAAAAAGAAAAGAATTTTTTCTCTTTTTTTTTGCAATAACAACTTATGTTTAATCAATTTCTATAATTAACCATTCTTTTTGATGTTATTCATTGAGTAAGATCATACATATCGTTTTGTTTTGTTTTAATATTCCCTCGAGATCTATATATATAGTCAACATGAATAAGTTCATAATTGAGAGGCATGAATTTTAATCGATAATATATTTATTGTTATTATGAAGTTTAATTAAATTTTTTCTTTTCTTTTTTTTTTTTAGCGATATCAAGTATGGATGGATTTAGTGTTGGTTCAAAACGACTGAAGGTTGAATTAAAAAAACCACGTCGTAATTCGTAGTATGACAAAAACTAAATGTTCAACACAAAAATGAAAGAACAGTAATTAAATAAAAGGAAAAAACATCGTGTTATATCTCCATTGAAAAAAATACAAAAGAAAAGCAAAGATCTGTAATATGAGTATAAGTTTTTAACTGTCTATTTCTCGTTTTTCGTTTCTTTTCGTCATTATTTCAGTTTTTTTTGTTTCCTTCGAAAAAAGAAAAAAAGTAGGAATCGAACATATATACTTTTCTTTTGGTTCTCTCTTGTGTTGTGTGTGTGTGTGTGTATTTCTCAAAGAGACTTGTGTAGAAAAAAACGCGTAAAAAAGGAAAAGGAATTCCCTCTATGTTTTGTTTATGTGTTTATGGCTCTCGATTTCTGTGTCGACTTTTCTTTCTTTTTTTTTTTTTTGTGAGTTGCTGCTGTGTTCCAAACTGTGTTTTCTGTTTTTTTTTATGCTGCCACTATTACTGCCGCCGCCGCTGTTTTTCCTTTATTTATTTATTAAGCGATTATGTGTGTGTGTGTCAGCTTTTATTATCTGCTGTGTGTTTGCGTGCGTGCGTGCAGTTCACTCATTTTATTTTGTTGTTTTCTGTTTTTTTTCGTTTATTAAAAAAACTCCCTAATTTATTCACAACTTAAAAGAAAAAAACCAACAGTTATATTATCTTTCTTTTCTTTGTGCTTGTGTGCTCATACCTACACGGTTGTTGTGTGTGTGTGGTTTTTTTCTGTTGATTATCGTTGGGTTTCTGGATGCCTATACTTTATATATCTGTGTGTGTATGTATGTTGTGTATGCTTATCATCGCCATCGAAAAGAAAAAGAAAAAACTAAACAATAAAGAAAATCCTTTTTGTTTTGTAGTAAGGTATGGAAAACAGCAGAGACAGATTTTTTTTTGTTTTCTTTGACGGCGTGATTATTTATCTGTACGTGTGTGTGTGTGTGCGTGTGCGTGTATTTTTTTTTCTGTGTATCTCTGTACACGTTATTTTCAGTTTTGAAAAACAACATACACCAATGATATATAAATATGATGGTTTCTCTTTCTTGTTGTCAATGGTTAAATAAGTGATTTATTTATTTATATGATTTAGAATGATTAAAATATTTTAGTTACACACAAACGAGATTAAGAATAGGAGATGTTTTTATTTTGTTTTGATTTAATATTCTTCAGCATCACCAGCATCATCAGTTACAGTATCGATACCAACTTCTTCATAATCTTTTTCAAGAGCAGCTAAATCTTCTCGAGCTTCAGTAAATTCACCTTCTTCCATACCTTCACCAACATACCAATGAACAAATGCTCGTTTAGCATACATTAAATCAAATTTATGATCAAGACGTGCCCATGCTTCAGCAATAGCTGTTGTATTTGATATCATACAAACAGCTCGAGGAACTTTTGCTACATCACCACCTAAACAAAGCGAGAAAGAATGATTCATATATATATATATATAGACGTAGAATATGATTTGAGAAAAAAAAAAGACCTGGCACAGCAACAGGTGGTTGATAATTAATTCCGACTTTGAACCCTGTTGGACACCAATCAACGAATTGTATGGATCGTTTTGTTTTTATAGCTGATATAGCGGAATTAACATCTTTTGGTACAACATCACCACGATATAATAAACAACAAGCCATATATTTTCCATTTCGTGGATCACATTTAACCATTTGATTGACTGGTTCGAAACAAGCATTTGTGATATCTTGAACACTAAATGCTTCATGAGCAGCTTTTTCAGCTAAGCAAAACAAAAACAAAAATATGTCATTTCAAACTATATCAATAAAACTAGACTAACCACTACAAATTGGTGAATAAGTAACAAGTGGAAAATGTATACGTGGATAAGGTACAAGATTTGTTTGAAATTCAGTTAAATCAACATTTAATGCACCATCAAAACGAAGTGATGCTGTTATTGATGAAACAATTTGTGCAATTAAACGATTTAAATTATGATAAGTTGGTCGTTCAATATTTAAATTACGACGACATATATCATAAATAGCCTCTAGAAAATTACAATAAGACATCGAAATTAATTTTCTTATCAACAAATTTTTTTTTACAAACCATTATCAACCATAAAAGCACAATCAGTATGTTCCAATGTACAATGAGTTGTTAATATTGAATTATATGGTTCAACAACAGCAGTTGAAACCTATATTTATATATAATAAGACTTAAATAAATCAAATATACTGTATATATTAACCTGAGGAGCAGGATAAATAGCAAATTCAAGTTTAGATTTTTTACCATAATCCAAACTAAGACGTTCCATTAATAATGATGTAAAACCCGAGCCTGTACCTCCTATATATAATAGAAAATAATATGTTTTGTTTTTTTTGTTGATAAATTTTCTTTCATATTACTAACCACCAAAACTATGAAATACTAAAAATCCTTGTAAACCTGTACATTGATCAGCTATTTTACGTAATTTTTCAAGTACAGTATCAACTATTTCTTTGCCAATTGTATAATGACCACGAGCATAATTATTTGCTGCATCTTCTTTACCCGAAATAAGTTGTTCGGGATGAAATAATTTAGCATATGGTCCTCGACGAATTTCATCTTGAATAAAAGAATTTAAAAAAAAATTTCCATATTATAAAATTTTGAAAGAAATCAAAATTTAATATTTACCAATTACTGATGGTTCAAGATCAATAAAAACAGCTCGTGGTACATATCGTCCCGTTCCTAAAATCATATCATATGATCTTACGAAGAACAAGAAAACACAAAAATTTTTCAAACCTGTTTCACTAAAAAATGTACTAAATGACGTTTCCTTGGAATCTATATTATAAAACTTCCATTAAACTACCATGAATAATATATATTTATACAAACCTGAAATCGATTCTATAAATAGAAAAAACAAAACAAGTATTAAAAGTAGAAATATATGATTATTATTTCATTATTATCTTACTAATAATATGACTACTATCTCGTTCTTTGCTAAATGTTCCATCAGGTTCAATACCATGTTCTAGACAATAAAGTTCCCAACAAGAATTACCGATTTGAACACCTATTATATATATTTTATTAACAATTGTATAGAAAAAACAAACAAACAATAGAAAATAATTATTACCAGCTTGGCCAATATGAATACTAATACATTCTCGCTAGATACAATAAAAAAAAAACCAGATATCCAAACATAAATTTTGTAATTATGATATATACACACCATTTTAATGACGATCCTGAATAATCAAGTGGAAGAAAAGACAACGGATTAGACTACAGAAATAAAACGGAATAATCTTTGCGACCGATTGCCTACACCAAACGATAGATAATACAACTATTCTCTTTGCAATCGTCGTTTTTGCTTGATGTACATTTTCTTCTTTCTCCTTCTTGGCACCCACATTTTTCTTTCTGCTTGCCTACTGATTTTTTTTTGTTTGGTTGCTTGTATATGATAGAAAGATACATGATGGTACATAATTATTATTTGGTCGACGTTCTCATCTTTTTTTTCTTCTATCTTTTTTTGTTATATCCTATCCTCATCCAATCCCCATGCCGACTGATTTAGTGTTCGATGAGAAAGACAAAACTACAGAAAGAGACAGCAACATGAAAAAAATATGTTATCATAATATTATATCCTCTAATCGTCATCAAGGCTAACTAAATCATCACATCTTCAATAGTTAAATTTTGCAAACACAAAGAATTCAACAGACCATAAAGAGGACGTTGTTTGTTTAAAAAAAAACCATGCACACACACATACGATAGATATACACATGAAAAAAAAAAGAGAGAAAATCAAATAAAACGACAGTGAATATAACAAACAACATTCAAAAAAAAAACAAAAAAGAACGGACCAAGCGCATATTCAAAAAAAGAGAGACAACATAAACGAATGAAAAATATGATCAGATCTATTTAGTTAAAAACATCTAATAATAATAATCAATTAATTTAATAGATATTTCTTTTCTTCTAAAATAAAAGTGCCGTTTTCTTTTCTTTTTTTTTTTTGTTTTCTTTAATATATATATATATATTTATGTTCGTTTCTTTTTCTTTTATTCTTTTTTACTCTTCTTCTATGTACAATAAACATAAACTTAAAATTCGCGATCTTCCAAAAATTTATATTCAAATATAAAATTGTCTCGTTTACGTGTTTGCCATCGTTCATAATCAAAAAATATATATGTACCCTAAAAACAAAAAAAAGAAACACAGTAATTCTAGACATAATAAAAAAAATATTCATTTAACCTGTTCATAATCATCCGTTATTGTTTTTGGTTCTTCATGTCGTTGAAACCACATCATATGTTTCGTATGAAAACGCCATGATTGTCGTTTTAATGCTTTAGCAGCTAAATATTGTGCCCGACTTCCCTTAAAACAAAAAAAAAAGCGAGCCCAATTTAAATTAAATATTTTCTTAAATTTTTATTTTTCGTACTTCCATATAATAGAAAACAAAGAATAATGTATCCGGTGCTAAACGATAATAAAATTCTGGTGTATCAGAACCAGCAGGTGGTGTTTGAGGATAATATGAAATCATTTGTGAATGTCCAATTGGATTTCGTCCATAAATACGATTTGCATTTGTTCTTCAAAACAAAAACAAACATAGATAAATAAATAAATTTTTATTAATAAGAAAAGAAAAAAAAAAACCTTTGTCGTTCAGATTCTAATAATGATGGTAATTTTGCATAAGCTGAATTTAATCTATTAAGCATTCGCATTTCAGCTGGTGTCAATGGAACACGATTTGTTTGAATAGATTGTTGATTTGATGGTGATAATAAATATCGAAATGTATGATGATCTGGTAAATGACCAATAATATTATTATTATTATTTGTTGATGATAAATCATTTGAATTATTATTTGTTAAAAATGATGATGATGCTGTTGTAGCAACTGATGGTAGTGCTGTTGTTGTTGTTGTTGTTGTTGTTGTTGTTGATATTCCTGTATTAATTGTTGACAGATTTGGAAAAGTATTTGTATCAAGTAATGAATGTCCATCTGACGAACCATTAGTCATTAATGATGTTGATGGTAGACTTGTTGAACGATCATTATCGGATATTGTACGAGAAAGTAATGGAGATTGTTGAGAATTAATGGTTGAATCAATATTAGCTGTTGATAATAATTCAAGAGGAATGTTTGAAGTTGATAATGTTGGTCCTGAACCTGAATATAATGATGACGGAATTATTGTACCATTAGCTAATGTTACTGTTGATGATAATGGTGATGAAGATGACGGATTTATTTGTGATATATTACTAAGGATATGTTGATTTAATAGACCTATGAAAAAAAAAAGAAGAAAACAAAAATAAGAGAAAATAAAATTTAATCAAATACAATATTATCTTTTAATATTTAATTCTAAGACTTTGTAGTAAATTTTTTTCGTATACTTTACATTAGGTGTCAATATATGAGGGTTAGACTCCTCATACTTTTTCCGTCGTGCTTAGAAAAATTTCACGATATTGTCTGAAACGCTATAGGCATCTACTGTTAGATAGACTACCTTTGAATGTTTGCCAAATGTTTAGGTCTATGACAGTTAGTCGTAATATAGAATTAATGGCAATGCTGAAAAATAGCTAAGTGTCTATTCAAGTTAGATATGAGTATAAATACGGATGCTTAGTAAACTTTTCTAATTGAGTATGAAGTTTTATACGAGAGTCAGAAATAAATTGTCCTTATTTTAGAGTTGAAGTTTTCGTCAATTCATTTCATGCGGTATATATTCATTTTTCACATTCTACTCTCATCCTCGCACGATGTTCTATCTGATTGAATCAAATATCTGCAAATTGAACTTTCCAGGAAGTGAAATAAGAACCGTGCTTTCATCAAACTTGCAATCAATTCTAGATTACGACTAATTGTTGATTTCCTTAAATTTTTAGCCGCTTCTACTTCAAAAGATATGAAAAAATTTTGACTGAGAAAAACTTTTTATAATTCTTACCCAACTTTACCCTTAAGGATAGGATAGTCCTATATATCTCGAATTTATAGAGCTTACAAGGTCATCGATGATTTTACTCTGAAGAATTCTTGAACTATGAAAATTCATAAAATAGAATGAAATGCTAATCATTTAAAATGTTCATATAATAAATAGATTTTCATTGAATAAATAATAAAAATTATACCAGTACGATCATTATTTGTTAATATTGAAGGTGGATGAGAACTATTTGATATTGTTGTTATCGTTGATGATGAAAATGATGGTATTGATTGACTTGAAGTTGTAATTATTGTTGAATCATTATTATTAATTGATGTTTGTCTTGACAGTTGTTTTGTTTGTGGTGAAAATATATTTTGTTGTTTAGACCCGGAACTATTACTTGTTATTGGTGTTGATGGTGTTGTATTTTGTGAAACAATTGTTGAATATTGTAAAATAGGTTGAGTTGTTGTTGCTGTTGTTGTTATTGGATAAGTAAAATGTGTTGGTGCACTTGTAGATAATACAGATGATGATGATGATGATGATCCTGGTGTTTTTGTTATTGATGTTTGTTGATGTAAAATAGGATTTTTTGGTGAAGATCCATGAGTAACATTTGTTGTTGAACTATTGGTACCTGAATTTGTTCTAGATGATAATCGAAAATAATATTATGAACAACAAAAAGAATTTATAGAATTTTTTTTTTCTTCTTTTCTATATTAAATACCGATTTCGTTGTGATTGATTATCTTCAGATTCAGATTTATTACGTTTTCGATCATCAATTGTTGTTGATATAGCTGGACTAGCAGTTGGTGAACTTGGTTGTGTTGATGATGGTGTTGTTAAACTCATAGTTGATTCATTATCACCATGATTTGAATTTGTAAAAAATGTTGTCGTTCGTTCAGTTCTATACAATAAAAAAAAATAAATAAATAAATTCGATTTCAACAAAAACAAAACATTCAATTGATATATTCATACAAATTATTTGTTGATGTATGTGAATGTATATTTAATGTTGGTGTACTTATATCAATTAATGTTGTTGTATTTGAATTTAAACTATTACTATTACCATTTAATAATGATGGAGCATGAGATTGTGTTATTGGTACAGCTATAACTGGTGCCATGATTGTTGTTATATTATCCATATCAATTTCTTCATACATTAATTCATTTTCTTTAAAATCTGATTCTTGATTTGATTCCATATAATATTCAATATCGGCACGCAAATTATGTATTGGTTTAAGATCTTCAAGTGCATCATTATCAATAGCACGTAGAATTTTTTCAAGTGATTCAATATGAAATTTATGTCTTTCAATTGAACGTTTTGTGTCTTCAAGACGTTCTAATTTCTACAAAAAAATATAAAATTCATATATGAAATATTAATTTTTAATTTTCATAGTCGCAAAACATCTGTCAATTAGGTATTATTGATATTAAAGAAAGAAAAAACATAGTCATAGGATAACCAATTAAGTCTCATGAATGTAGAGGATGTTCAAAAAGTCAGGCGTCAAAGAAAATTGCACATAACTCTTAAATAATTTAAGTAATTCACATAAGCTTTTCATATTCTCGGAAGTTTTATTGCATATCATTTCATCCACTAAGTCATAAAATCATTTGTTTCGAAACATATGTAGAAAACCAGATCAGCATAAAACTTATTTCGAGATTATTGTGATCTCATCATTAATTTTTATCCATAATGTATATATATATATCAACATGATATTTCACATTGAAATTTATATAAAATCTCAAAAGCAGTTTGATACACTGATTGTGTGCAATTATTTCGAAATACATGGTTTCATGATCTAGAGTAGATTGTCGATGATTTAAAACAATAGCTATATGAGTGAAAGCGTATGAAAGAAAATTTCCAAAAATATTCTTTGAAATGATCATATGAATAATCGTTTGAGGGCTATTGCAATTATATGTCACGCCTGACTTTTGCAACCCGCTATAGAATGATGTCCGTTGTTTTTTTTGTTGACTACATTATTTCATATTTTTATGCTAAAAGCAATCAGCCATATCGACAACTATTTATCATCATATATGTCAATCATACATTTAGACTCGTCTAAATATACCGAAATTTTGTCAATATTAAATGTTTTGCTATTATTTAAATAGACTTTTTCCAATGTAAATAAAACTTCATATTAGATTAATAAAATCTCTATATTATCCAAAATGATACTCTCATTTATTTTAGTTCACTGTTAGCAGATAATTAGTATAGAATATATTTAAAATTGTTAATATTTGTTATTTTTGAGTATAATTGAATATTGAATTAACTTACATCTTTGTCAGATTTTTTTTTCTTTAACGATGCAGATATTGTTTCAATGTCAGCTTCAAATTTATCAATTTGAATATTTAATTCATGTATGGCTTCCTAAGAAAAAATAAGTTTTTGTTTCTTCTGTTTTTTTTATCAAGAAAGTATTTAAAATTTTAATCTACCGTTATCCATTGAGTACATTCTTCTTTTTCTTTTTCTTGCGGATCAAGTTTTTGTCCTGCACCTAAACCTTCTTTACTATAAGCTTTAGTTTTTGTTTCACGTTCAACAATTTTAAATTTTTCCATTTTCTAAAAAAAACAAAAAGTAATGTACAAAGAATTAATTTATTCTTTTTTCATGTTCACAAACTTGTTCGATATTTTTTCTTGCTTCTTGTAATTGTTTTTTGTCTTTGATTTCTGTTGATGACATCCATACTTTAATTTGATCGCGTAAACGTTGTAATTTTTTTATTTCTTTTTTTAATTCTTGTTCATATCTATCTTTTTGATTATGGTTTGGTGCTGAATGAACCTATATTAATTTAAATATAAGAATATAAAATAAGAAGCGTTTTTGTTTTTCTGTTTTATCTACTTTTTGCCAAATATCATCGAATGTATCCACACCTTCCGTTACTTTTTTTAGACAACGTTCAATTTCTCCTGCAAACAAAAAGAAACAAAAGAAAAATTTTCGTAATTATAACAATGAATATTTTTTACCGTGTAGTTTTCTCCTGTCGCCCATTGTAAATTATTGAATTTATTTTGTATAATAATAAAAAATGAAACATAGAACAAGATCAACAAAAAAACCACGTGTCTCTTGAAATTCACTAGATAGTTAATTTCAAAAATTTATATTTTTATCTATGAAAATAAAAACAAGAAAAAACATTAATTTTTTATTTTAATTTGTTTTCTTTTTACCACAATCGACATTCCTAAAAATCAATGAAATAAATAAACAAAACAAAACAAGGAAAAAAAAACATAAATGCTTATGCAGAATCGACGCGCCGGGTTGGACGATCGACAAACCGATCCGATCGGCCTGATGACTTGATGATTCATCTGAGAAAACAACATACGATTCATCAAATCGAATATTAATATAACAGAGGTCGTAAGAAAATGTAAAGCTCAATAAAAAATGAATTACCATTTTCACATTGAAAAATTAACCATGTCACACATATATATATATATAATATTGATATTAATGTTTTTCTCTTTTTAATATGACCTTGACTTTAATATATCATGGTAACCGTAAGTGGTATTTAATCAAACATATATATATATATATAGATATGACTAAAAGAGAAATAGACCACAGATGGTACACATTATTTATAGAATAAAAAGAAACAACAAAGTAGACAGAAGAAAGAATAGATGGTACCTTTCGGCTATCTTATGGTATATAGTACTGCTTAACATCAGATTCATTGGCTCGATATTTTTCTCTACAACTAATATTAGCTGTAACTTTGAATAGAAGGCCGGCTTAATGCAGAATTTGTTATGTCCAATAATAACATTGATGTGTGTAGGTGTTTGATTATATTTGATCTTTGATCATCTTCCGCTCTTTAATTTCACTCTTCCCCCCCCCCCCGATTTACTTATAAACAACTGGTATTTATGTCAAATGTTAGAAGAAAGGTGGACTTGACCAACATAGACAACATAAGAGGATTTGAAAAATATATGAATTATCTTATCGAAACAATAAAGAAAGTCAAGAAATATACCAAGAGAATATAAATGGAAAATACCTTTAACAATTTTTTCTTATGTCACATCATATGTAGGTGCCATAGCACAGTTCTTGCGCACAATTCCTTGAGCTTTCCGCATACACTGACTAATGACATACTACTAGCAACGAGGACAGGTGTATATCGTAACTTCGTCAGCATGCTATCGGATGGATGATGCGAGACAAACAGCCATTTGTGACTTTAGAACAAAGTAGTTTCTATGGTAAATTGTAACATAAAGTGAAATTTCATTCAGAATAAACATTGTTGGGACTTTTGAAAATTGTTTATCTATGGAAGATGTCATATGTTTTACTGTCAAATGAAACAAAAAAGATTTAGAATATAGGTTTCTTTACTAGTTTTTAAGTAATTAGAGATCATTCTTTGTGTTGTTTATTTTCCTTCATATGAATATTTAAGAATAAAATACTTTGCTTTGTTTCACAAAGGTTTGTATTATTGTTTTGATCTCGACACATGTAAACTTAATGAAAGTTCCTGTACAATTCATCCAAGTATAAATTCATCAAGTCTCATTACATCAAAATTTCTGGAGTTTCGTTTTCAAATATTGAATGCAGAACCCAGTGAAATATTCGATTTTTTAGTTTCTTCACATTGTAATGAACTATCACCGCCGTTTTTACCATCAATTAATTGAATATTTTATTTAATATACTATATACTATATTGTAATCATTGGCGGATACCGGAAATTTTAAAGGCCATAACAGATGGGAACAAATTATGGACGGTTTTCGTGATGGTATTTCTATTATCAATTGTTTAAATTTATGCTACGATCTATAAAAACAAAAATAACTAAACAATAAATTATACAAAAGATTCTAGCTTTGTATTTTTTTCGTTTTCAGGAAGTTGTTCGATATCAATCTGAGTCATGGAATGGACATATATTACAGGTAGCTCATTCAGACAATTTTCACATATTCTACTTTCAAGATCTATATTTTATTAACCTTCATGTGGGAAAAACTTTGCTTGCCTGTGGTTATTGTCACCGATAGCATTGCATAAAATTGCAAAATAATATTGATAGTCGAGAAAAACGAACACAAATGAATTGTTAGCATGATAGTTGGATAATTCAATGTTAAATTCTACAAAAGTTCGTTAGCTGTATGACAAGAATAGAAGTCACATCCAAGAAAAAAGAAAGAATATTTAATACAAGGAAGAAAACTACGTAGAACATACATAAATTTCAAAGGAAGATGTAGCTGTCGCCTCCACCTTCCTCTTGGCTCTGACATTGGTTGTAATGATGGTTTACATGATCTGCTGTCCATTGATTAAATACAAAATATATTCCAATTAGTGTTTTTCTTGTGTGAGTATTTACTTTTCGTTAATAATATGAAAGAAGAGAAATAAGCAAATGAGTAGTGTAAATCCAGGTGAGGATCTTCGCTTCAATAAAACTCACATTTACACTATAAATTTGCTAATTTCTCTTCATTCAAATAAGCAACATAAAGTAAATACTCACACAAGAAAAGCGCTAATTGGAAACAATTTTTTATTTTAATCAATGGACAATAAATTATACACATATGGTTACGATGTCATTAATTTCCTTGATACATACAGAATTATAAAAAAAGAACGAACAGTAGTTTCAGTGCAATAGCTAGAAATTATGAAGTGGACAAAAAGAAAAAAGTCCACATGTGTTCATTTAAATGAGATTAAAATAGTAATCGACGACCATGAAAACAATGTTCAAGGTCAAAGAAAGGAGGTGTGCGCACTAATAGAGGTTTCATTGCATTTGTATTTTTCATGATTTGTTGCTTTCAATTACAAAACATGAAATTAATTGATTTCTTAGTTTAAATTGTTTATGATAAACATAATGATTGATTCGGAGCAAGACACATAATCATTGTTAAGAGTATCTTAATTACTTTTGATTAAGTATTATTACAGAATAATGCAACATAAAAATAAAGTTCATACGTCGCTATCAAAGCGTCTATTTTGATGATCTATCATCAACAGAATTTTTCTCGTCATTCAATTGAAGTTTAAATCTATCGATATTATTACAAACATCAAACAATGTTTTTAGATGTCAATAAAATAAACGTACTCCTCTTTTTTTTATGTCTTCTGTTGTATGATTTGAGCGCATCATTGTTCAACTTGTGATAGACAGTACAAACAAGGTCTACAATTTTTATTCACCTTTCCAGACAAATAATTTTTACAATATAAATCAACTTTCTTTGACATTAGTGAACATTTTTCATCTAACGGCTTATTATCAAGACAGGCAAAACTTAAACAACTGTCTAGAAATTGTTAAGCTACTATAATTGAAAACAAAACAAATGCTAACTCACTATCTATTATGAAATTTCTCACATACTCTGAATGACCTATTTTTAAGACAGACTACTCATATTGTGACATGCCTGAATACAATTTATGGGCGGATGAGATTTGTCTCAATTATTGTTTTTTTTTTTATTTTTTCTAACGAACAATATCCGTTATATGTATATATGAAGAAAGAAACTAAAAACAAAAAAAGAAATATTTTTGACAACTTGTTAGACATTGTTGTTATTTTCTTGTCTAATTAACAAAGAAAAGAAAATCTTTATAGATACATCACAATGTGTTAACAATTAGCTTCATAAAAAGAAAGAGATATAAACGTTTAAAAAGGACGATGACCCATTCTCAATTAGATGGGTGTTGTCGGCTCTCTTATGGACTGATTAGTCGATATATCTAACATGACTTGTGACACGAAAGAGAAAATTGAGTATACAGCGTGTGAAAGATGTTTCCGGTTAAACATCACTCCCTTCTTTTTCTTTTTTTTTCGTTGTCTATGTGTGAGTTAATGTTTTGATCTTTACTCTTTGTCGGCAACAGACAAGTATCAATTTATGTTAAACATAAGACTAATTAACTAACAAAGATATTTACAATTCATAGGAACAGTAGAAGAGAAAATGGTACATACTTTGACCAACATGCAATGTTATGCATTGTAAGATCAAGCTAATTAATGTATGATCAAATCAATTAGCTAATAGAGCGTATATATACTGTAGAGTCGAGAAAACTTTGAATTTTCATTTGAAATTATTTTTTTTTTCAAAATGTTCGTAATTGATAGAGGTGTGAAATACAATTAATTATTATCACTATTAGGGTTTCAAGATCAACATCTGTCTTGTTTTACTTCGTTTTTAATAATCAAAATAGTAGCATAAAATACGAAAACTGAGTATCCTTGTGTTTCGCTTACAATAGAGCGAAACTTGTTGATGGAGTAAAGTTCTCCAACTATTCAATCGATTTCTAAATCGAGATTATGTGTACTAGGTAAATACAAATGAGTTATGAATATTCTTAAAAGAGTTCTTGTCCTTAGCGTATTACTACGGTAACAGAAAGAGTACTTTTCGAATTTGAGTTTGACATTTTGTCTAAGTAGAGACGTTAAGAACAATAGTTTAAGATTTTATCATCGTGTCTCTGTGTATCTATAACATCATTCATATAAATTAGTAGATTTGAAATTCTTATTTCGGAATAGAAGCAAATCAGAAGCAATTGAAAGACTTCTCTTGTCAATCCTCCTAAAGTTTTATTCTGATTACGCTATAAAATGAAAATCTTAGATAGTGTTGTATGAGATTCACAATCTTTGAATTGAAATCAATGCCAAGAAAAATATTTGTCACATGCAAAAATTTATCTTATCTATTGAAGGTTTATCATAGTCATCCGATAGAGAATAGAGCCAAGTTTTTTCTTCTTCTTCTTTTTCTCTTCTCTCTCTCTCTCTCTCTCTCTCTCTCTCTTTACCACGTGATTTAACCAATCGTATTCATTCAATAGCCGCGGCCTATTCATTCTCTATTGTTCTTTCTGCGTCTGTCTACGTGTTGTCGTAGTGGTAGATCGTTTTTCACGTTACGTTCATTTTCATATCTTT